CATCCTGACAGTACTGGTGGCTTCATGTGGGCTGGTGGGCAATGGTGTGGTCTGCTGGCTCCTCTGCTCCCAGGTCAGGAGCAACCCCTACCTGGCATACATCCTTAACCTGGCCGCTGCTGATACGGTCAACCTCTCCTGTGTAACTGTGATCCTGTTGGAGAAAATCCTCATGCTGTATCACCAGGTGACATTGCAGGTGGCCGTGTTTCTGGAGCCTGTCTCTTATTTCTCCGACACAGTGGGTCTCTGTCTCCTGGTGGCCATGAGTATTGAGAGCTTTCTGTGTGTCCTCTGTCCCACCTGGTGTTGCCACCGCCCAAAACACACCTCTGCCATGATGAGCGCCCTGAGCTGGGCCCTGGGCCTTTCTTTGCATGTGGTTAGCCAGGTCTGTGACTACTGGGAGAAGGGCTTGGCATGTGACCAATTTCACGCAGGCTTTATAATATTTCACATGCTTATTTGTCTTGTGATGGGCATTTCCAGCCTGACTTTGACCATCAGGAGCCTGTGCTGCCTGAAGAAGTGTTCACCCATCCGGATCTACCACATTGTCCGCTTTGTGGCCATCAGCTTCCTCATCTGGGGCCTGCCCTTCGTTGTCCCTGTGTACCTGCCAGGAGAAGAATACCTGACCTTTGCCTTTGACCTCCTGTTGCTGCTGTCCATGGTGGTCAGTATGGCTCAATCAGGCATCTACTTCTTGGCTGGCTACCTTCAAAGGAAGAGGCATAGGGAGTCCTTAAAGGTTGTTCTCCTAAGGGCTTTGTTGAATGAGATGGAAGGTGGAGGAGACAAGGGGTCTCAGGCAAGGGAACAGCAGGTTACCAGGATGGAGCTCCTCCCACTCCAGGAAACTGTTCCCCAGAACTGACCATGATGCCCTGTATTGGTCCGTTCTCACACTGCTATAAAGAAATATCTGAGACTGGGTAATTTATAAAGAAAAGAGGATTGATTGGCTCACAGTTTGACAGGCTGTACAGGAAGCACGGCTGGGAAGGCCTCAGGAAACTTACAATCATGGCAGAAGGTGCAGGGGAAGCAGGCACGTCTTCACATGGCAGGAGCAGGAGGAAGAGAGCAATGGGAGAGGTGCTATACACTTCGAAACAATCAGATCTGGTGAGCACTCACTCGCTATCATGACAGCAGCACTGAGGGGGAAATCTGCCTCCATGATTCAATCACCTCCCACCAGGCCCAACCTCCAAATGGACGTGAGATTTGGGTGGGGAACACAGATTCAAACCACATCATGCCCTGTGGAGTCTGCCCCATAAGGAGGTGCTTGAATCCTGGCAAACATGACTCTGAATAGGGCAGGAAGTCAAGTGGTGGAAACAACTATGACTAGAGGAAATGTTCACTGAAGTTTCCCTTTACCTCAATACTGCTCTAATTACTTCGCAAATATGAAACCAGGTAATTTTAACAATTCTATGAATAGATAACATTACTATTATCCTGCTTCAGCCTAAGCCAAAAGGCCACTTGGCCCATTTAGCCAATAGCTATCCAAAGGCCTCAGTACATTATAACAAGCATAGCCCTTCACCATCACTCTCCTCCTTGGAGATCAATCACGGTTGGACTCTTGTGGGTCTGTCTCTGGGTCCTCTGCTCTATTCCATCAGTCTATTTATCCATCCATGGACAATACCACACTTGATGTAGTTACTGCATCTTTATCATACATGTCTATCTGCGAGAAGTTGAGTCCTCCTACAAGCAGTTAGAGAAGAAAAAGACATATATGTGCAGAGAATCAAAGATACAAAGCAGATTTCTTGTTGGAAAATTGCAAGTTGTATGGAAGTACTTCTTTTTAAAGAAAAAAATGCCAATCTAGAATTCTTTACACAGTCAAAATATTTTCCAATAAAAAGGCAGAATAAAGAGGTTTTTCAAATAGACAAAAGATGGAAGAAATCATCACAGATGTATAGATTGAGAAATGGTAAAGGACATCCATCTAGCAGGAGAATAATGACTCCAGATGGAAATCTGAGTCTGCTAAAGGAAGGAGCCCTTTGCACTGCTGGGCTCTCCATAGGATGCTGAATACAAGTAGTGAGAGCTGACAGCCTCGCCTAGTTCCTCCTCTGGGGTGAAAGCACCCAGTCTTTCATCATTAAGAATAACGTCCACTAAACATCAACTACAGAGGTTTTGTAGGTGCCTTTTATCAGTTTAGGAAAATTCACTTCTATTCCTAGTTTTTAGGAATAGAAATAGACTGGAAGTTTTTATAAGGTTGTTGGATTTTGCCTAATGCTTTTTCTAAATATACTGAAATAATGATGTGCTGTTGTCTTTTTATCTGTTAATATGGTAGGTTATACGGGCCCATTTTTAATGTTGAAGCAGCCTTGCATTCCTGGGATAAATTTCACTTTGTCATTCTGTGCCTATATTTATATTTGTGTTGCATATGTATATTTGTATTGCATATGTATGTGTGCTCAAGGGCACGTGTTTCTGTGTATGGCAATGCAGTGAACCTAGAATAAAAAAAGAAACCCTCTAAAAAAGAAGAATTAAGTAAGATGGCTAAAGTACCTAACTTCAAGACTTATTGTAAAGGTTCAGAAATTCAGACAGTATGGTATTGGTAAGAGGCTAGACAAATAGATCAACAGAACAGAATACAGAGTCCAGAATAGACCATCACATATATATTCAATTGTTTTTCAAAAGGTGTACAGCAAATTCAGTGGAGAAAAGACAATCTTAGCAACAAATACTATTAGAACAATTAGATATGCATATTAAAAACTTCATACATGGCACCAGTATTCAAAATGTATCATAAACCAAAATGTAAGGCCTAAAACTTTAAAATTTGCATAAGGAAAAAGGTAGACATTAGTGTGACTTTGGATTAGAGAAATATTTGTTAGATAAGCACCAAAAGCATGATGCATACAAGGAAAAAATATGATCAATTGAATATCATCACAATGATGTGTGCACTCTGAAAGACCCTGTGGGGAGAATGAAAAGACAAGTCCCAGGCTGGAGCAAGTATTTGCAAATCTCACCTCTGATGGACTCATACACAGGATCTACAAAAAGCTCTGGGGAGTGGACTCCTCACGGCCCTCAGGAGTCAAAGGGGTGCTGTGCTTAGGACAGAAATGGAAGATGCCTCCCACCCTGTCATTCATGTCCCCTGAGCAGTGGTGCTCAAAGTCCCATACCAATGCCCCTTCCTGAGTCCACAGTCCCTTCTCTCCCCACGTCTACAACGCCAGGCCGGGCCCTAGGGACAGGCCCCTCCTCCAGGGCACAGGGAGGGACAGTTGGTCTCAGGCTCTGGGTGCCCAGCTTCATGCTCACCCCTTCAAGGCCCACCGTGCCTGTCTCACAGGATAGAGTGAGGTTGTCTGGCGTTTCCTGGACATGCTGTCTGGGCCTATTCCCAAGCTGCAGCCACAGAAATGGAAGGATGTTTGTCAGGCAGCTTCCCTGTTCTGCTGGGTCTCATGGAGCCCTTCCCACAGAGCCCGGGTCTAAACACACAGTACAGAGGCCACAGGGTGGCCAGCCTAGAACCTGTGAAGTGTGCTGGGGACCACACAAGGGCTGTCTCCAGACAGCCAGGCGAAGCTTTGCTAGTTTCTCAGTACCTCATTTCTTTCCGTTTCTTTTTTTCTTTTTATTTTTGAGACAGGGTCTTGCTCTGTTGCCCAGGCTGCAGTGCAATGGTGTGAGCTCAGCTCACTGCAATCTCCACTCTCTTACCTCCAGACTTAAGCCATTCTCCCACCTCAGCCCCACCAGTAGCTGGAACTACAGGCGCGTGCCACCACGCCTAGCTAATTTTTTTGTTTTGGTAGAAATGGGCTTTGAACATGTTGTCTAGGCTGGTCTTGAACTTCTGGACTCAGGCAACCCACCCTCCTCAGCCTCCCAAAATCCTGGGATTACAGGTGTGAGCCACTGCACGTGGCTGTTACTTCATTTCTTGCCAGTTACCTTACCCTCATGAAAAACCCCCTTCATTCAAAATCAGTAAGAGGAGAAAGATGGTAAAACAGTCAATGGAAAGAAAACAGGATATAACTTCTGTCCATGTAACTTCTTTATGTCCCATTGGAAAGAGAAGCCTAAAGGGGTTCATTAATTTCTATTGCTCTGAGGTCCCGAGGATGGCATCACACAGTGCAATAACTACCAGCAGGGGCCATGCTTGATCTCAGCAGATGTCAGTGAGGACATACCCGGGATCTTCTGGGGTCATGGACATGGACTTACAGCAGAACTGAGTAAACAGGGGTGCACAGGCACACACACACACACATACATACACATACACATGTGCACACACAGGGACACACACAGTCCTGGGCTGCACAGATGAGCCCCTCCCCATCCACTCTGACTCCACAAGGCTCCCCTGACCCCGCTAGTCACCTGACCTGTTGTCAGTGGTGTCCTTTGTGTCCCACCTTGGCACAGGCTCAGGACCTGGGATTGCCAGATACTGAGAGATGAGATGGAAAGAAGGATGAGGGACAAGGGAAGAAAGGAAAGAGGGAGGGAGGGATGTGGGGAGGGAGGGAGGGAAGAAAGGAAGGGAGGGCTGCCGGAGACCAGCCACCAAGGGACAGTAGGCACAGGTGACAGGAGACCCTCTCAGGGATGCTTTGTACAGACTGTCATGAATGAGCAATGTCACTGGAACTTCAACTTTTGCTCCCTTCCCAGCCCTCTGGGGTTCCCTGTCAGGCGCAGTTTGAATTACAGTAAATTATTGGATGGTCTTAACCCTGGCATCTGCCTGAGAGTGGGAGGCTGCAGTGCAGTGTGGCCTCACAGTTGTGTGGGAACCTTGGCCTTTCTGGTCCTTGGCCCTGCTGCGGCCTTTGGGATGGGGAGGCTGTGAGAGGCTGGTCAGGGGTCTGGGCTGTGTCACCCTCATTTCCCATCCACCCCAATGTGCCCAGGGTTTCCTGCAGAGAGCTCTGGGCAACTCAGAAACAGGCAGGTCATAACAACAAAGACTTTACTGTGCTTTAATCAAAATAAGTGGGGGTTTTGAGGCCAAGGAAGGGGTCCTTTTCCCCAAGAAGAGGCTTTCTTAGGCATTGCTGAATCTGTGCTGGAAGCTCTGGTCCCACCTTGGAGCCTCCTGCGGTGAGTAGTGCCAAGTTTCCTGACTTTTTCTGACCAGAAAATGCAACTGCCAAGAATGGCAGATGAGGGATCCAGCCTCCTGGACTCTCATTTTCTTGGTTTTCTTCAGTCCTGTGTCCTGAAGCAGATTGTGGACCCTGGAAGCAGGGCCCCAGTGCCATCTGCTTGGGCCTCAGGACTCCACCCCGTTGCTGGTCTGGTGGTGGCCACCTATCCTGCAGGAGCCTGGCCATTTCTGCTTCCTTGAATGGATGAGGTTGGTGGCTGGTCCGCCTGTTTCTGCCCTACCCTCACTAAGGTGGACAGCAGTCGTTTGAGTTTGGTAACATCATCAGCTTGGCCTTGCTAGGCACACATAGGCCCCGGGTATGTATGCAGTGCCCCAAGGGGGTTTGTTCTGCCTTAAGCCAAATACTAGTTCTGGCCAGGGCCATAGGGGACTCTGTCTCCTGTGTATCTTGGCTGCTGCTGGGGGCCCCAAGGCACCCCGGGTGCCCCTTCCCTTTCAGGGATCAGGTTGAGTCTGGGCTAGGGCCCTCTGGGTCTGGGAATTGTGCATTGAGAGGGGGATTCTGCCGTACAGGTTGGGACCGTGGATACAGGGCATGCTGCTGGCTGGCCTGAGCAGTGGGAATGCCATGCTCACCCTTCCCTCCAGTGGCCTCCAAGTGTCCAGCTTCCCCATCAGTATTGACTTTCCATGTCTAAGGAGCTATCTGGGGCTTTGGGGCAGCTTGCCAGGTGCTGCCCTGGCTCCTTCTGGGCCATGCCAGTCACCGTCTGCCGAGGGTGATCTATCAGATATAGGCACCACATGCAGGAAAGTTGTCTCTGGCCCTACCTCTGGGCTATCAGGGGTCTGGGCAGGGTCTCGTATTGGGGGCTGGCCCAGTCCTGTGGTCTTAGAGGTGTCCAGGGCAGATATGGAAGTGACAGGGGCCTAGCATGTCTGCTCCAAGCTGTACTGTGAAAACCACAGGCCTCTGAGGTCCAGGTCCATGGGGAGCTTAGAGAGGGAGTTCCAACGTAGGAATCACCAAGCACCCTGTGGTCTATCCTGAGCTGGGGATGGACTGGCCACACTCTTTTGAGTCCCCAGGGCCCCCAGAGAGCAGCCTGCTGTCCTGGGCTCTGCAGAAGCTCCCTCATGCCCTGGGCTTTGGTCTTGCATATAGCCTAGCTAGGCAAGGGTGAGGGAGGATGAGGCTCCCATTTCAGGAGGGCTACACCCATGGGCTGCTGGAGCTGGGCTGTGGGCCAGGGAGAACCAGCCCGTCCCCTTGGGGAGGGTCTCAATGCTGGGGGATGTCTGCAGAGACCTGAGTGCTGGGGGTACTTGCTCAGGTTTGGCTGAAAAGAAAGCAGATTTGGTCAGCTTCTCCACTGAGAACATCTTGCTTTTGCCAGGCTGGACTCCACAGACTTGGGTCCCTGCAGTCCTCAGGGTCCCCGTGTGGTCCCCCTGGTCTAACGCTGAGGACACTTCTGCAGGCTGCTGCTCCCAGAGCGAGATGTGTGTGTAGCTGTTAGGGAACCTCAAGTCACTCCAGGGGCAGCCCCCAGGGTTCGGGCTGACTCAGGTTCCTGCCTCACACCCTTGCCCCAGGGCTGCTTAGCCTGCCTGGGCTTTAGCCTTGATTCAGAGCTCAGATGGATGGGGCCCCTTTGCCACCCAATATGGGGGCTTATCTCCACAGTGGGTGAGATACCCTCCACTCCTCTGGGGGATCTCCATGCCAGGGCTGCACTGTTACCACACTCAGCTGAGCTCTCAATTCTGGCTCTGGGCCAGGGTTTCACATATGCCCTCTCCCTAAATCCTCTTAGGGTCTGACACTGATTTTAGGCCCTTGGAGGGGTGCTCAGGAGTGAAGGCCCCGCTGCTCTCCAGGGCTGCTGGTACTCACAGGTGTGGTTGTGGGCTTGCACAGATGGATCTGAGCTCTCCAGTGTCCTTCTGGGGCTTTCAGGAGTGACAGCAGGAGGCACATGGGAGGGGCTTGGAAGAGTCTTGCCCACATCTCATTGTCTCTGAGGCATGTCCAGTAAACCCAAGGTCAGCTTTTGCCCTAGGCTCAGTCAGCCTGTTTTCAGAAGCTTCTTAGAGGCGGAGAGAGAGAAAGGGCTGGAGGAAGGCCCTGGGAACAGGGCTGGTGAGGTCTAGGCACTTCCCACTATTTACTGCCCCACAGGGTGACGCAGGAGGAAACTTGGTTCTGAAGCCCGCCTGGGTGTGCAGGTCACAGTGCATGCTTCTCAGTTCCCCCATGGAGGCCTCAGGGCGCCTCATCACCATGTCCTCCTCCAGGGCCCAGGCCTAGGACAGCGTGTCCTGAAGGAACTCCTGTAGGCCAAACAGGAACAGCTTCAGGGGGTGTTCCAGGAACAGGGTGACTATCAGGCTGGGAAGGGTCTGTGGGAGAGTCAGTTTCTGCACCTTGTTCCCGCTCCAGGCACCCTCCACTGGGCGGTGCTGGATCCTACTGTGGCTGCCCCAGGGGTCCAGATGTTCACAGAGAACCACAGCTGGAGGAAGGCCTGGGCAGGGAAGTGCTCACCACACTCCTGCCTTTCATCTAGGTTGTGTCAGGAGTGGATTTGGTACCTGGGTCCACTCCCTGCCCAGCCAACCAGGCCTGGTCTGGCCCTACCTCCGGGCTGGAGCAGAGAGCCATGAGGACAGTGTGGATGCTGGTCTCAGGTCATCACACACCAGAAGCCAGGGATCTGTCCTGCATGCTCCTTCTGGGCACCATTGGTGGATAGGATCCAGGGTCTGTCCTGCATGCTCCTTCTCGGCACCATTGGCCACCCAGGGACTTAATTCTGTGTGCTGTGAAGGCCATGTATACCATAGTTGTCACCACGCACTCACCTTCCAGGAGGTAGACATCCCAGAGCCTCAGGATGAGCATGAAGGAAGTCTGCGGGAACAGCAGGTATGGGAGGACCTGGCCTTTCCAGCCTCGGGGCTGGTGGCTTGAGCAGGGCCCACTGTAGCCTCAGTCTGGACTTCCTGAGGCTCCCTCTGCTTGGGAAGAGACCCACCCTTCCATAAGGCTGGGTCAGACAAGGTTCGGCAGCTCTTCATGGGGATGGACTCATCTCAGCAGAAATGTGGCTCCCAGAATAAGGGATTTCCTTAGGGCTCATGGTTTCCCTGGCTCCTCCGGCTCTTCCAAGACGGGTCCTGGCCCAGTCCGCCCAGAAATCCCTGGTTTCTGGTGTGTGATGCTTCCATCAGGCAGGTCCTGGCTTGTGTGCCCTGCAGAGACCTGCCTGTGCCTCCTGTGGGGTGAGGGTGAGCTGGGTCCTCCTGGGGAAGCCGGAGCCCTGGGCTGGGAGAGCTGAGCACTGTAGGGAAAGAAGATACCTGGCCTGGGGTCTCCCTATGCATCCTTATCCCATCGATGAAGCACCATAGAAACCAGTTTAAGGTGGAAAGCTGGATGCACAACCCTTCCTGGTCCTGATAGAAGGAGTGTTCAGGGTCCCCTGGGCTTCTGTGAAAACCTCTGTATTCCAGGGCCCACCGCAGACCCTTCCCCAAGAGGCAGAACAGTGGTGGCTGGGTTTCCGCCAACACCTCCCCACGGCATGGGCGCCCAGTGGATGTACTTCCCTTAGCCCTGGCTCAGCCTGGTCCCAGTGCCTCTGTCCCCTCCACGTAAGGAAAAGGAGGCCAAACTTTGAATCCATTGAAAACCAGGTCAAGCCCTGACTGGAAGTTGGCCTCTCACCAACCCCAGGCTTCCGCTGTCCCTCTAACCCCATGGGACCCAGGGCCTCTGGGGAAGAGCTGAGGGACTGTCCACTCACCATGTGCTTCATAAGCTCTTGGAGCACTTTTAGCAAAACTTGCTCTTGATGGGCTTGGAGACTCTGGAAGTTAGAACATCTTGGGATGTAGACTCCTGAGAGGCTCCTGGAGCCCCAAGGAATCAGAGCCTACTCCTGAAATGTGGAGCCATCAGGCTGGGTAGTGGCAGTTGGGCAGTGGCAGTTGGGCAGTGGCAGTTGGGCAGTGGCGATTGGGCAGTGGCAGTTGGGCAGTGGTGGTTGCTTCCAGACCCCAAGGCCTTTCACTCTCCCATCCAGTGACCCCATCGTGTGGTCTTGGCCAGGAGAGGAGGGGCGGTGGGAATGTCCCCTGGGGCCTGACTGGAGGCACTGCTTAGCGGCTTCCTGGGCCATGGTTTCAGAAGGGCAGGCCTGCCTTTAAAGCAGTGAGGACAGGTGGGAGCTGGTGGGGTGACCAGGGGTGCTGGAGGATATGTGGCCTTCTCCTGGATGTGGGATCAGGGCAGGGGACACAGGACAGAGAGAAGCTGTCATCTGGGCTTGGTCTAGCCATGGGCAGGGCGGGTGGTTGGGAGGGTGGCCAGCTGGGAGGCTGAAGGACCAGCAGGGTGATAAGAGTCCCCTGCATAAGGTCAGGGCCAGAGGGCTGTGGCACCAGGATGCAGAAGGTGGTCACGGGGCAGCTGTGATCCCGTTTGCTGATGGGGACAAGAGGCATCTGACTTGGGGTGTGGGGTCTCTGACCAGTCACAGGCTCCTGTGGGACTCTCAGCAGGGGATATCCTGGAGGCTCAAAATGAGTAGGGGACAGAAGGTGCCTTGTCTGTAAGTCACAATTACCCAGTCATTGTGGCCATCCCCTGTCCTGGCTGTGTGATGCCTCGTGGGTAGCTGTCCACTGTGGGCTAATGTCACATGGGAGGACTGTGTCACCTGAGAGGACAGAGTTCACCTGGAAGAGTACCATGCTTGGCAAGCCTCTCATTGGCCAGCAGCTGGGCCAGCACCCAGATGTCTCCTCATTCTGGAACATGAGCAAGATAGTGGCTCATGCCCCTGCAGTAGCCTACCTCCGGCAAGAGCCAAAGGCATAATGGAAAGGCTTCACCAAGGCTGACGTCACCTTGGAGGGTCAAGGTCCCTTGAGATGGCTAATGTCACCTGAGCACACTATGTCACCAAGAGGGTAGAGGTTACCTGGAAAGGCAGAAGTCTCCTGGAAGAGCTGAGGTCACCGGAGGAAACAAGTCACTTGGAAGGGAAGAGGTCACTTGGGAGATGTAATATCCCCTGGGAGGACTAATGTCACCTGAGAGGGCAGAGATCATCTAGGAAAGCAGAGGTCCCCTGGAAGACCTGAGTTCACCAGGGAGGGCAGAGATAACCAGGGAGAACTAATGTCACTTAAGAGGGCTGAGGTCACCTGAAAAGACTGAAGTCATCTGTAAAGGCAGAGGTCACCTGGGAGAGCTGAGGTAACCTAGGAGGGCACAGGTCACTTGAGAGGGGAGAACTAATGTCACCCAGGAGGGCAGAAGTCACCTGAGAAGGCAGAGATCACCGGGGAGGCCTGCCACAGGTCCCAGGGAATTTAGGGTGCAGCTTCCCTGCCCCTCTCCTGATGCTGTGCTTCACTTGAGCCAGTCATGGACATCGCAGTTGACAAGGAGCTACTGAAGCGACTCCTACTTCATCCAAACTCATGTGTGGCCAGAAAGGGCATAGGTGAAGGCTGTTAAGACCACCTTGACCCCAACTGCAGATGCTAAGCTGGGGAGGCCACTGTGCCGGGCTCAGGGCAACACCCTTGAACTGAATCCCCATGAAGGCTGGTTGTGGGTGCTGACCACTGCTCATAGGGGCCTGGGATGGCTCACAGGCTGCTGGGCACAAAAAGACAGCTAGGTCCAGACCCTGCATGGGCAGCCCATGGAGTCTGCTCAGCAGCTCTTCCTGCCAGGAATGGTCTAGAAAGTGGGGGCTGGAGAGTGGGAGCAGCCATCTCAGTAAATCCTTCCCTGTCTGCTGTGCTGTTCAGGGCTCGGGTGAAGGGGAACTGTGATTCCAAAGCCTTATTAAGAAGATGGCTTCTTCAGGATCCAAACTCACTTTATGACAAAAGAAATGTCCATTAGGCACTTCACCAACTTGTAAAATATTCTGAGAGGAACAATCTGCAACAATGCAAAGCTTGTGGGGACTGAAGTGGGAAAGGAAAATAAAACTCAGGACTCCAATTCACTATGCCAAAAGGAAGAAAATTAAGCTGAAAGCTGAGTCACGCAAAAAACTGTCTTTCCTTTTGTTCCTCAGGAGATAGGTACAGATAGAAGGTTAAATAGCTCCTTAGGTAGCTAGTCTTATATTCACCTTATGTAAAGGGCCAATTACTGAGTGTGAGATGAATACATAATTGACTGTTTTCCTACCTGCCCCTTTTCTCTTGCAACATGTGGATAACCACACCCTCTTTCCCCTCCAGCCCACTTCTCTCCTTTATATATTGAAGCCCTCACAATCATCTTTGAGAAAGGCACATCTACCTGTTTCCTGGGTGTGCCCTTAACCTTGGCAAAATGAAAATTCTAAATGGATTGAGACCTATCTTACATACTTTTTCGTTTACAAGTTGGCAACCAATGGAAGAGACTCTGAGTGAAGGTGGCCTTGACCTTTGACAAATCTATTAGTGCTTGGTACCAGTTTGAACTATCTTTATTTTTATTTTGTTTGTTTTAATTTTGACTCACTCTGTCACCCAGGTTGAAGTGCAGTGGCACGATCACTGCTCACTGTAGCCTCTGTCAGGCCTCTGAGCCCAAGCTAAGCCATCATGTCCCCAGTAACCTGCACGTATACAGCCAGATGGCCTGAAGCAACTGAAGATCCACAGAAGTGAAAATAGCTTAACTGATGACATTCCACCATTGTGATTTGTTTCTGCCCCACCCTAACTGATCAATGTTCTTTATAATCTCCCCCACTCTTAAGAAGTTTCTTTGTAATTTTCCCCACCCTTGAGAATGTACTTTGTGAGATCCACCCCCTGCCCCTAAAACATTGCTCTTATCTCCACCGCCTATCCCCAAACCTATAAGAACTCATGATAACCCCACCCCTTTGTTGACTCTCTGTTCAGACTCAGCCTACCTGCACCCAGGTGAAATAAACAGCCATACTGCTCACACAAAGCCTGTTTGGTGATCTCTTCACACAGACATGTGAAACAGCCTCCACATCCCGGGCTCAGGTGATCCTTCTACCTCAGCTTCCCGAGCAGCTGGGACTACAGGCTTGTGCCACCACACTTGGCTAATTTTTGTAATTTTCATAGAGACAGGGTTTTGCCTTGTTGCCCAGGCTGATCTTGAACTCCTGGGCTCAAGCAATACTCTTGCCTTGCAAGGCCTCCCAAAGTGCAGGGATTCCAGGCGTGAACCACCATGTCTGGCCTTGAGCTATCTTTATTGTTCAAACTGTTACAATAGGTAATTAGTCAGACATGAACAGGGCAGGAGAGGGGACCTGGACCAGGACTGTCAGGCAACCATCAGATGATGGTCACGAGGTTGTTAAACTGCCTCTTGAAAAAAATAATTGGTTGCAGCTGGTGCCAGGGAAAGGCAGCCTCCCAACAGAAACACCTCAAGTTGGTCATCAGCAGCTTCCCAATAAGATCTCAGGAGCTGGGCTAGTGGACGGACGTAAGCATGTGCACTAACAGGCAAAATGGCAGAGTTGAACCAGTATATAACCTTTCTCCAGAAACACTCGGCTGGTAAGGGAAGAATGCCTTAAGTGAGCATGTGTACAATTTTGGTAAATACAATGTGCATGTTGCCCCTTCCAAGTGCTGGCAGGCCACCGTGCACGTGGACAACCCACCCCAAGGGAAGAATCAAGGGAGAAGGGATGCAAAACCCCCCCGCTCCAAGAGGCATGCCAATGTCTAAAATCCCAAGTCAAAGATCAAACCGTGAACCTGATCTCTCCAGTCACCCACTCGCCCTCTTTCAAGCGGACTTTGCTTTCTTCAGTTCCTGCTCTAAAGCTTTTTAATAAACTTTCACTGTTGACTCTAAAACTTGCCTCAATCTTTCACTCTGCCCTAAGCCCCTCAGTCGAATTCTTTCTTCTGAGAAGGCAAGAATTGAGACTGCTGCAGACCTGTAGGGATTTGCTGCCAGTAACAAAACCAATAGGACAATTTGCTGAGGCCTGGGAGGTACCATCTCCACAGAATCCCTGATTTCTCAAAATAATGTTGAGATCGAAGGTTTATTTTGCTGTATAACTCCTTTTCCGGAGTTTTACTTGCATCCAACAAAGAAGATGAGTTTTTCTGGATCCATGATAATGGAAAGCAGGCAACTCCTTTCTGGAGTTTCAGCTTGCTTCCAACAGGGAAGATGAGTTTTGAGTTTTTTTCCTGCTTCTAGGATGATAGAGAGCAGTCTTTGACCTGGGCTGTATTCCTGCATAAGTAGCTGAAATGGGGTTTGTCTTGGAAATTCTCCTTAATGACTAAAAATTACAATTAACTGCTAGCTGGTCTTGATTTCTCCTTACCATTAGAGTGCTCAGTAGTCTTACAAATTGTGCAATCATTTGTTTTGCTTAACTTTTTTTTCTTGTTTATTTGTTTGGTTCTGTTTTTGTTGTTTTAGTCTTTTTTCCATTGGGTTTGACCACTCTACTTGACTTGGTCAAATCTGAAGGAAAGTTCTAAATTATGGGGAAAAATACCTCTGAATTGGCTAAATTCCTGGAGTTGGGGGAAAAAAAAAAAAAAAGAAAGAAAAATCAGCCATCAAAACAAGAAAGTATTCAATTACCTGAAGGGCTTTATTTACATAGCAAAACAACCCTTTGCTAGCCAAGCCAAACTGAAAGAGCAGTAGTGGTTGCCCCATGCTGTAGTTCAGTAGCTAAGGTTCTGCCCTTTTTCCACTATGGCAGCCTGGGTTGGTTTCCTAAATAAAGTCCTTTCTGGTTTGATATTTGTATTACATTTGATATATTAGAAGTTTGTCCCACCTAAACCATGGTAATGTAACCAAAATGCAGGTTAGTTGCTTGTTGCTTGCAGAGTCCAATTAACAAAAGTGAAGTCTGTTATAAAGAAAGTAATTTATTTCCAAAACTAGCTTAGGGGAAGAAATGCAGGTGTCCTCCATATGGCTTCACTTTTAAAAGG